TTTCTATTTTAAGAGAGGCCCAAGCATGAATAATCAGTGCGTAATATGATGTGGGGTTTGCCCCAAGCAAAATAGGTAAAATAGAAACTAAAAGAGGTAAATTATGTTCTGGGCTTTTGGCTAGATTAAGGCTTAATTCAAACTAACAGTAAATGAACTCAAGGACTTGGCGATTTCAGAGTAATTTCAGAGCACACTACTGTAAATAAAATTGCAGATGCCTCGTGCTGGGTAGGCTTAAAACCCAAAATACTTAACCCAAAATAGGCTTAAAACCCAAAATACTTCAACTGATATCGAACTATAGAATCAAGGTAGAATATGAAGGAAGGATGAGAATTCTCGCTTATGGAGGTAGGCAACAACGTCTATTAAACAGTTAAGACTCCGCGGAGCAGGGAACTATAAAGACAAATATATTATCTTTTCATGGTGGTAGCACTTTCTACGTACTCTGCACGGGAAAAAAAAGTCCTGAACCCAAACGATAGCGTACATAAAAGTGGATAAAGCTACTTACGCTTCCGAAGAATGAATTTTGTGGATCAAAGTGACTAAACAACTTGCTTTAATTATTAATGATGTATTTTAATGCACCCAAGTTACAGCAACGGCGAGTAAATAGGTACCGAGCGATGAGATTCTTTCAAGTGTCGACGACAAGCTTAAAAGTATGGATGCACGTCAGGAGGTGACTCATACCGTCTATGGTCTCCTATTCACCTGAAAGATGAATATAGGTTTCAGAACTTCGTCACAAACCTATGATGTGATCCCGTTCCATTTCAACTTGCAATAATGTTGTCGCTCCGAGATAAATCCAAAACTACCGATTTATTACAACAAACCTTAGCAGAAGATTGCAGTTTGACTCGAAGTAAACTGCAGTTGATTGTTTTCCCAGGAAGGAGTCAGGAAATATCAATATGGAACTGTTGCGCAGCTAATACTGTGAGAGCAGTTTCGTTTTCTCTCCAGGATATATCAATTCCGTTCTGCCTAAGACCGCTGACCCGGATAATCCTAGACTGACACGAAGTACAGAATTTGCATAATTGCTCTTGGCCCACGTGTAAAATCAAATGGAAGACATGTGACGAGAACAAACTCGCTTCCTGAGGTGGAGTATGATAAGAGCGTACATCAAGACTTCGATTGTGCGACAGAAATTATAAATAACCATGGTGATTTTTTCATAGAATTGAAGATACAAATTAATTCTGGTATGCCATAAAAGGAAAATCTACCAGCCTAGTCTGAACGTTACCAGCACCGTGTTATAAGACTGAGTGGGACAACGCCAGAGTAACTGTCAACCCGAGTCGGGTATTTAATGAGGTACCACATGTACATTTCGTCTCTACAACAAACTTGAGCATTTTCAACTTTAGCTTTCACCTTGAGTTCAGTATCATCCTGAAAATGGAAATAAACAGATAAAGGAAACAAATGCAAACAGACATCTTGTCAAAATAAATGCATGGTTGCAGTGTGTAAAAAACTAAGCCTGTGGGGAATGCAGTTGAAAGCTCGAGTGAAGGTTGAGCGAGGAGGACGCGAGGAGCGACGCCAAAAAATTACGTCATCTTTCCATGCTCCATCCCTCGCGCATGACTCCCAATTTGCTATCTCCTCGACTAGAAAAAGGGGCAAATGACTCCTGCCCTGCATGCTAAGGCTATCAATTTTAGTTATGGTGGACAGTTTGATAGAGAACTACGTTACTTACCGCCGTTTGTATCGACCGTTAAATTGAAATATGACTGAAAAAACGGAAGCGCTGGGAACACGAGTGCAACGAAATTTGAGCCTCGCTCAACGTGGAAAAAAGGCTAAAGTAGGTGAATCTAACGTCCATTGAGGCTAACTTGATGAGGGGAAGTTTTCAAGCAAGAAAACGAATACACAACGTGAGCTCATTCTGTAATTTTTATTGTCTGATCACACGACCTAACTTTACACGTGATAAACTCATCGGATCAACGTTAGTACCTGAGCAATTGTTTACCAACCCCTCCCCTAGCCAAGGCTAACCCTAACGTATTGCGAGTTGACCGTTGTTGAGTTAAGGGAGGGGTAGGAGCGCAATTGCTCAGATATGATGCTCATCGGATCAACGTCAGTATCTGGGAAACTGTTTAACTACTCCTCCCCTAACCAAGACTAATCATGATGTATTATAAGTTGACCGTTGTCGAGTTAAGAGAGGCGTAGGTGCACAGTTGGTCAGATACTGACACTAACGTATTTAAAGTGATAATAAGCAATTTTTTTTCCACCGCTATGTACATGATGGGGATATTTTTTTTGCCGAGTATGCTATCTACATCGATAAGAAATCAAATGGTCTCTTCTGCACCGCCATGTCTCACTCTTCATGCATATCACTAAGCCACGGTACTTTCGATATCTTTGAATTAAAATTGCTTTGTCTGCAATAATCACCCAAGTCAACACACCAAACTAAAATCATCTAGATAAATGGCACATTTTTTACCAAAAACCTTTTAATATCGTAACGAAATATATCCCTATGATATATACAGTCCAAACAGCTATTTTCAACACGAAAAATTCGTGATGTTTTCTCACCATCACATTGTTGAACATCACTCTTAGTTTCATACAGGGTTTAGAGGAGTAGGGATGGCGCGGTCGTGATAGCGCTCGCTTCTTAATTCCCTCCACGATGGCTCGGGTTGGATTTTCAGACCTGGTATCACATGTGGGTTTAGTTTGTTGTTAATTCTCGTCCTTGCTCTGAGGGTTTTTCTGAGGGTCATCCGGTTTTCCTTCTTTCTTAAAAAACAAACATTCTAAATTCCAATTCGACCTGGTAACAGTGGACAAGGAGAGCCACTACGTGGAATGTCCACTGCTAAATCCCATTTATTTTGATTTTACTAATCTACGTTCTAGGGGTTTCGCAAATGATTCATTCACCTCTTGTTTTAATACTAGAAAGCAATTTGTCTCAGTGGGTCAGACCCAAAGCAAAACTTTCTTTTCTCTTGTATCAAATCGAAATGACAACCTCACTCAGGTATGTTGCTTATCATTGATAAAACTTATTTGGAATCTCAGTCTCGACGGAACATCCCACATTAAATTTATTCCAAACTCCTAGTTAGACCTGTTGGACAATCCTCACATGTCAAATACGCAGGTCTTATTATCAGTGACTTTCACTTAGTTGAATCGTAGTAAAAGTTTACAAACGGTGACTAAGAATCGGAGGTGGCACTTCAACTAACTGAAGACATTTTGGTAACAATTATATACTGTTTACCCATCAAACCAAACTACTGTTAAGTTAATAAATAGTCGAATGACCACTAACAGTTTAGTTGGCTGTTCCTCAGCCTCTTTTCACTGCCTAGGTCATTTCAAACTCCCCATTTACTCCTTTACTCTTTTCGTGTAATGTCAGCCCTCCATTAGGATGAAAGGACACAAACTGCTCTGTTTTGTGGTTTGCGCTTCCTTGATCGGTTCTTGAAAAACAATGAAAAACTCAACATTAGCGATTTCATTCACCATAAAACCTACCTTAATCTACTTTTACCATCTTCAGTCCCCTTACATATCCTTGACAAAGTAACACCTTTAGTGAGAGTCCTGAAATGATTGTCACTACCTCTCACTGAAAAGGGAAATAGCGGGACAATCAACTCGTAGGATCCAAGCAAGAACTCTCGGATCTCTACAAGCTCACTGTTTCCCTCAAAGCTCGCTCTCGGAATTATGTTCTATCCACGGAACAGATGGAGTCCGCAGGCAAATATCTCAGCATATTGTAGTGCTAAATGAAGCCAATCGTTTGCATAATTAGTTACGATTGACTTCCATTCGGTCAAGGATTAAACGGAGATTTAGTATTACCTTGGAATCACCGGAGATTTTCTTATTTTCTTTCCCACATGGTGATGATTGAGATTTCTTCAGTTCATCTGCCTGTAATTGGGAACGAAAGGAACAGGTTTGAGTGGACGTTGGCAATTTACAACAGGTATAGCTATTGACTATATTTAACCTCTAAATAACACATTTTTTTCAACTAGTAAAAGAGAGCTGGATTACAGGAAAACAAAGAGAACGAGCCCGCAAGTTACATGAACTGCTTAATTCTAAATGTTGAAATTCCTTCATTTTCAAGTGGCAGTTGTGATGTTTACCTACCGAAAAGAAAAGGCGCTTTAACATTTTGTCCAGGTATATTATCTGCTTCTCTCTGCATTTTCTGGATACAATCAGTATGTCCAGTTTTTTTTTCTCTACTGCTGTCATATTCCCTTGTTCCAACTGTAGATCTGCAACACTTGTTTTTAAATTATTATGCACAGTTCGTAAGGTACGGTACGTAAATTCGTGAAACTTCGCTTTCAGGGACTCATCGCACTTGCAAGCTTCCCTCATCATGCCTGTCACTCGTGTGTACAGCTCCTGAAGGGTCGTGTTATGTCTGGAGATCAAATCCAACTTTTTCGTAACATTGAAAGTTTCTTCTCTTAGCTCGGGTATCTTTAGATTTTTTTCTACAACTGATAGCTTTTCCTGCAGATCCCTGAGCTTCTCGGACATCTTTGGCACTTTCGATAATGAATTTTCCACTTTCTCTTCAACTTTTCCTCTGTTTTCTTCCACGACTTCAGACGCCTGAGTGGAAATCTCTTCCATCTCTTCAGCTGGTGTTTTGATAGTTTCTTCAACAACTTTAGACGTACGGGTGCAAATTTGAACTGTTAGCAATGAATCCTCTGGGCGTTTCTTTTCAACTGATGTTCCAATAATTTCTTTTTCCATCTCAGAAGTCTGGGAGAAAATAGGTTCCTTGTGGGATGAATTTTTCCTTTTAAATCCAGCTGATTTTCCGATAGTTTCAACTTCACCTTCGGAGGTCGGAGAGGAAATTGGCACTGTGTCGGATGAATCTTCCACTTTCGTTTCAGAATATGTTCTGTATTCTTCTCCAACTTCAGACTTCTGTGGCAGAATCTGCGCTTTGATAGGTGGATCTTCCCTCCATTTCTGAGCTGATTTTCCAATAATTTCTTCTGGAGTATCAAGCCTCTGGGTGGAAATCTCTTTCAAGCCTTTGCCTTCGGTTAATCTTCCGATGTTTTCTTCCCTAACTTCCGGTGTCTGCATGGAAATCTGCTCTGTGGTTGGTGATTCTTCCAGTTTCTCTCCATTGGATGTTCTGAATTCTTCTTCAGCTTTAGTGGTCTGAGCCGAAGTGTGCACTTTGATTGATGAACCCTCCTGCCATTTCTCAGCTGATGTTTCGTTAATTTCTTCCAAGGTATCGGGCGTTTGGGTAGAGATTTCTTTCTGGCTTTTATTTTCGATTGATCTTCCAATGATTTCTTCCATACGTTCAGGCGTCTGAGTGGAAATCTGTTCTTTGGTGAGTGAACCTTTACGAGTTTTGCTCTCATGTGATGTTCCGAAAATTTTCTCAACAACTTCAGGCGTCTGCGCGGTGATTTTGCAGGTTGCATCAATGTAGCTCTTCAGTTCCTGTATGGAGAGTTGAAACAACTTAGTGATCAAATTATGACAATTGAGCAAGCGTTTATTTGTACGGAAAACAGATATCTGCAAAGACTGTTACCTCGACAGATGTTTTAAATTCCTTATCAGGACTCTTCCAAATAAAAAATGATCTCTTCTCAGTACTGTCGACCCCCAAGATGATCTCAGTCTGTCGATGAAAAATGTGTGCAATGACTAACTGGTAAGAGAACACACAACTGCAATTATGATAGAAGGTCAGCAGATTTACATGAAAACATTCTTACCTTGTTTTCATCTTTAAGGATGAACGTCCCTTGAATCTCGATCAATATCGTTCTTCTTCCGCTTGGACCTGCATGCAGCGTGAGATATACAACATCAAAAAATTAAAAGCAAAACTAGATGGTACTCCAATCAATGCTTTGAGCATGGGCACCTCTGACATCACGGCATTGCTCTGGTAAATAATCATAAAATTTGAGGACCACTCCAAAAGTTAAAAAAAAAACCCACCTGAACATAAGTCGTAGTCTCCTTCGCAGCCGTTGTTTGGGCTCGTCACGCAATGCCCCCTCCCCAACCAACCGTTGGTGGGGGAGGGAGCGTTGCGTGACGAGCCCAAACAAGGGCTGCGAAGGAAACTACATAAGTCACAGCAAACTTCTATGTGGATTTTAGTGTCTACACTTAGTATAAACAATTTTTGTTATCCCCGATTATGACTTCCTGAAGTGATTTAAAGAAATTTCTTTCTAAAACACCGTAAGGAACATTTCCAGGAACTATAATAGGGAGAAAAATCCTTGGCCGAGAGTCAAAAATTTGCTCCCAGTAGCAATAAATATATCTTATTATTAAAAACTAGATCATTGGATAAAGCAATTCAAGACTTTTTATCGGCTTAGCCATTATGGTATATCAGCCAATATACCATAATCTACAAATATGGTAAGCGTATGTATCAGCTTAAAATTAAAAGGGAGCTAAAAATTTAATAATTTAATTTAAGGTTTTTAATAAAACAATTATTGCACTCGCGCTTGTTGGTTATAAGATGATTATAGCCAACTCGGCGCTACGCGCCTCGTTGGCTATCTATCATCTCATATCCAACGCGCGCTCGTCCTTTAGAAGTGTGCGAAGTGGAACGGAATTGGCGCGTTGTCGTGCTGCTGTTTCTATTTTCTTCAATAAATGAAGAAATTTCCTGGTTATCTAGCTGTTTTTCTTTGTTCGATTCATCTAATAAACTTGGATCTAAGTTTTCCAGCCATTCTGACTCTTCGTCGTCGGAAATATGGTTCAAATTGTCCGCCATTTTGTTTTTCTTAATTACAATCCAAATCTTCGCCTGCGCGATGCGAGAAAACCTGTTTAACCGGTACTCCAGGTTACAAATTCCGCGTGATATTTGTACTCGTCTATGGCGTTATTTGTACTCTACGAAGTGTAGTTGGATAATAAAACACATTACTAATACCAATTAATCTGTCAGCCAGTGATTGAAGTCCGATGGCTTTTAATGCTGTTGCTAGTTTTCCAGCAGTGGCTCCCTGATGACCTTCCTTTTCCATCCATCGCACTAAAAGTTTGATGCAACGGTCGTTGCAACTGTCATTTTCATTATAAATTACTTCAATGAATGATTCTCTCAAGCCCAGTTTCCGAGCCAGGTTTTTCCATCTCATTCCAATCCCCTCGGGGAGCTGTCGATCATGTATGTCAGACTCAGTCAGTGGGTAAAGAGGATCCAAAGAAACAAAGCAGCAATCTGAAAAAATAGACATACATTTGGAAACACTTTTACACTGTTTAAGAAATTTGACACTTATTGATCATGCCTAATTCCAGAAAGAACGCGCGATTCGCAAAATAGGAGAAAATTCGTGTGCAGCAATTGAGTCGACTGCTGCCGTTATCACATGCATGATTCGCACGCGATGGGCTTCAAAGCCAAAGACAACAAACCACCCCCGCTTTTCAAAAGATTGCGAAGCAATGTCGCCCTGATAAAATAGGACAAAATAGCTAAAGAGTTAAGAAGGAATTTTTTGTTACTAAAATTTCGCAACGCAGTGTTGTTTTGATCTCAAACCTTGCAGTACGCTTCCTTTGCGCCGGTGTAAGATAAAACGAAAAGATAAGCGTGGTTGTGGTTCCTTGCGCAATAATCGATGACCCATGTCGTGTTTGTTGTGACTAAATTTAGCTATCCTTAAGATTACCATAAAATTTCAAAGAGGTCGCGTACAATGGTTTTCGAACTTCATTTGAGACTTGAAATTACATATAAAGAAACATATGTGTGTGTCAGTCTGGGAAACTCCAAAAACTACAGAATAGGACTGCACATTTAATCACTCTCTCTGACTTAATGGTTGACCTCGCCGGTTGGGACTCTTTGGAGCGACGGAGTTCAAAACAACTCATATTTATTCTTTTAAAGGCTCAAATTATCTTTCATCGATTCGTTTAAAGACTCTTTAAATAATATTTTTAAAGCTACATCCAGTGTTCTGGCATAGCCTAGGATATTTGAAATACGTCGTTTTAGTTATGAGCACTATGACAGGCAAACAAAGTTTTCATTATAGCGGATCTGTTCTCTCGAACTGCTTGCCTTTCAGTGCAAAGGTATAAGCTAATCTAAGCCGGCTCCTTTGGATCGTGTCTCCTTCTCCACCTAACTCGATGATAGTAAATAAGAGATAGTATTTATAGTATAATCTTTTGCAGATGATTAATTTATTTAGATCATTTAATCATTGCTAAAGTAATTAGTCGATTGCTTTTTTTATAAACACGGCTTGATGGGGGAGCATGTATAAATGAATTAACACCGTATATAAATAAATTTTACCTACCTAAACCGACGGTTTGACAATGAAACAAATAATGTGTAAGCGAGGTTCCATTGCACTTAAAGATTATCCGAAAGTCGCCAATATCAACAAAACTTGCAAGAACGCTGTATGGCTTTGTGATGTGTTAGTTATGTGTTTAAATTATGCATGGCAGATGGCGATAAAAACTCTTGGAATCGTGTTTTGTCAACTCTTCGTGCGGTGATGCGGTGTTGCTGTTGGGTTTTTCTTTTGCGGCCTCCAAGGGGATCAAGAGTCACATGATACACGTCCCCGCGAGCGATTTCCCAACCAACTCGACACGCAAATTTGTCTTTGTTTATGTTTTGTTAACATTCAACTAATAATTTGTTCATTTTTCTTAGAAAACGACAGGTCAACATAAAGACTTATACCACAAAATGAAGCTCATCTCATTAAGGGGACAGACCTAATGCAACAAAAGATAATGAATCTTTAAGACCTATCTTTGAAGTTTGTGAGAGATTTTAAGATGATATTATGAACGTAATGAAATGCAATCACATTGCATGAACTGAATGAGCTTGCGATAATTTCTGATAATAAACCTTTGAAGCACAAGATTAGCGGTTGAAATATTTGCTTCGCATAGGGAGAAAATATTCTCAAGGCGAATGTCTCACATAATTCTTTCTTTAACACCCTTGTGTGATCGGCCCAGTGCAATGCCGCAAGAATGCAGTTGACGATTTTCACGCTTCAGTCGCAAGTGTCTAACTCGGAGTTAGCTTTCTGTTCGAAAATAAGCTTGGATTGAGATTTCAATATCCAATTAAAAGATCTGCTTACCCTCGTTTTGAGTCATTCTATGAGTTCATAGTCAATCGGCGCTGTAGAGTCCTTTAATCTTGTCACTTAAATTAGGAAGCTGCTAACGATAGCACATCTTTATGGACTACGTCATTCACAGCCTTCTTTACCCTCTGGGAACGCGAATAAGGCATCTTTCACTACGCATGCCATCTGCGCTCACCCATTCGTTGCGGGCGCGCTCGAGCCCGAGCGCTAGGCTGAACCACTTTAACTGATTAAATGTGCAATTTGTAGGCTTTATAGATTCTGATAATTAGAGCAAATATAATATATAAAATTCATTCCATAGCAACAGGTAAGCATCAAACACTGCTTGAATAGGTTCTTGTCAAAAGGGGAAAGATGCCCCAACTTATTATCCCACTTGTGGAATTAGCAACAAAAGGAATTGTAGAGGAAAATGCAACCTATTTGCGCTTTTGATAATTGATTTCTAATTCATGTAAGCTTAGTACACAATCTTTCTATAGCACTTTTTGTCTAGATCTTTGACGAGGTTTAATGATCACAGAATAAATAGCACCTGACTTAACACAGTTTGATATAGGCTTTGGTCAATTAGTGGAGTTAGCGCTATAAAAATTATGTTAAATTAAAATTAAATTAAAATTAAACTTTCCTCCGCTACAAGTAGTCCCTTTTACAGATGTGGGCTTGGTGGCCAAGCCTTTAAACAGGAATGAGGCTAAGGGTGACCCTGTTGTAATAGAGACCTGTATCTAGTTAGCATGATAACAAAGTAATTTGCATTTGAAGAGCAGCAACATCTCTATCATAACAAGGTCACCCTAAGCAGGGCTCGAAATTGCGACCGATACGGTCGCCAATGCGACTAAAACTTCCAACTTGGCGACTAAAAGTTCGAGTTTAGTCGCCACTTTGGCGACTAAACTAACTTCCTCTGATAAATAAAAGATTGTAGATGGGAAAAATTTCTTAAGTCTCGTTTCTCCATATTTATT